GATTTTCCTGCTTTTCCATTTTTACGAAAACCACAGAGGCGTCTTGTTCAGCGTGCTGTCAAACCTACACTAGCAAGGAGATCGGGCTGAAACTATAGCTACAAGCTATCCAAGGATGGTACTATAGAATGTCACCTCAAGGTAGGCCTAGTGGCGTCATCTCTTGGTTAGGCCGGAAACTTATCAATCCACCCTCGTATTACAATTGAATATATCAAAACTTTTTTTCTTTTGAAAATTTGTAAAAAGAAATTGTAAATGAATAACGACAAAGAAAAGTATTAATGTCACTTGCTGCCAAGTACAATTATTCCTTTTGTAAAACCGGATGTTTTTCGAAACTAAGTGCGTTATAACGTAATGTTTTGTAACAGGTCATTTTCACAATATATAAAACTGTATGTGAAACGTCAATTATACTCATATTAAATTTTGGATCGCAATCATTAAAATTAGAGCTTATGACGAAACGATACAGTTAATGCACATTTATGTAGTAGGTACTAATGATCTATATTAAATTACCTGTATTCGTTACTTGCTTAAGGATAATAATGTAGACACGACCTAATATTTTCACAATCATAATTAATTCAGAAAACTTTGTCAGTTTTGTTAACTTTTTTCTGTTAAATTTTAGATGAAGAATACCTAATTTTAAACATACATACAATTTAGACTTCTTTTTAGAAGTGAGTTAGTATATAGTTACATTATTTCGACGGATTGTTAACCTTGTAGGTCGGTTAGTCGTGGTTGCTGTTGTCACCTCTCGTAGTTTAGTGGCCAGAACATTGGTGCGTAAAGCCAAAGGTCCTGGGTTCGATTCCCGGCGGGGGTGTGACAACAACAACAATTTTTCCTTCATTAATTTGAGGTAGTGCGTAGTGGGTAAAAAATTCAGAAATGAATTTTCAGAATAATATTTCATGTGCCTAATTTTGCCTACAAATAAATATAATGTAAAAAGATTAATTTTAATCCAAATGCAATTATAATATTGACTCATTATTCCGAACTGCGAAAAGTAAAGAAAATGAAATATGTATCACATACTATATCCTCTCTATAGGAGTAGACAGGTACGAGGCTACCACAGATGCCAACAAATGACAACACTGAATTTGCTGGGCGGCAGGAATTTGAGGGCGGCTGATTTTAAAGTCACACAAAAAGCTCAGTCTTTATGTATCTAAACTAGGCTAAGATTCAAAATAATAGTGAGATAAAAAAAACTTAAACTGAAACATCATAATTTAATACTGAGGGGTTTAGCACCCTCTTATTAACCCTTAGACCTATCAACAAATTATCTTTCGGGTCTAATCTTAATTTAAATGACCCTTATAGAGTTTAGAAACAAAAAAACAAATGTGGAATAAAAACATTCCCTAAACAAAAAATAAAAAAAAACTTTCAATGAAAAATTATAATCTGCCATTGATGGGTTTGGCAACTTAATATAAATAACCCTCACTTTCATAGGATTTGTCCTACATAAAATGTCTACTGGAGCTCAAATGTAAAAAATATTTGGGAGACAAGAACAACTTCTTCTGAAAAATAATAATTTAATATTGAAGGGTACAGTACCCTACAAATAATCCTTAGAGCGGCTAACAAACAAATTATCATGTGGACATAATCCTATCTTAAATGACATTTAGAGCTATGATATAAAAAAAAATTGTGGGACAATGAATACCTCCAACGAAAAGTTGTAATTTAGTATTGAGGAGTTTCGTAGCCTATAAATAACCCTCAGACCCGCTGACAAATTATTACATAAACTTTATCCTTGTGATGTCTCTTAGAGTTGAGATATAAAAAATAATTGCGGGACAATAACAACTTCTCCTCAAAAATAATAACTTACTATTGAAGGGTTTGTAAATAAACCTCAGACCTGATGACAAATTATCTTCCAGCTTAATCCTACCTTAAATGACGCGTTCTGCTAGGATACAAAAAAATATTGTAAGACAACAAAAGCTTCAACTTAGACCCGCTGACAAACTATCTCATGGGCATAATCCTACATGAAATGACTCTTAGAGCTAAGATTCAAAAAATGATTGTCGGACAAAAAAAGATAAAATTGAAACATCATAATTTAATATTGAAAAGTATAGCACCGTATAAATAATCCTTAGGCCCGCTGACAGATTATCTCGTTGAGATAATCCTGTTTCAAGTGACTTTTAGAGCCAAAGAACAAAATGATATTTTGAGACAAGACAAACTTCCACTAATAAATATTAATTTAATATTAGGGGGTTTCGCATCTTTTAAATAACCCTCAGTCCTGCTTATAAATTATTCATAGGCTTTATCCCACTTCGAGTTCATATAGAAAAAATAATTGTGGGACAAGAAAAACTACCCTTGAAAAATGACAACTTAGTGTTGAGGGGTATTGATTAAGCTTTTCTAAATATAATGCTTAAATAAATGAAATTTTTTGAATACACTGTTTTTTAGATATATAATATTTTTGTTATAAATATACGAAGCGTATTTTTTAAAAAATAATTGTTTTACAAAATCTTTTCTAAATAGTTTTCATCTAAACCTTCATTGTATGCCATCGCCGATTGCATATTCATATTCAGCGACCCTAAAAATCCCGATTAACTAATTTCAATTGGTTTTTAATGAATTTAAAATCTAACTGCTGGAGACGACCCAAATGACAGTCGCCCTGGGTCCCAGAGTAGGTTAATATTCAGGATGCCTCATTTTACTAGATCAGAACTTTCAATACATGGGCCAGAAGGATCAACCTGTGCTACGTCCCTGCAAATATATCAGCAAATTGATCATTTGTTGTATGTTTTCAAAAGAGACATCAACGTTACGTCAAGATACAAACCTTTGATTAAATATGTCTAGAGTTAAGAATACTAATAAAAATACTAGAGGGCAGGCGAATAACTATTCATCAATTTAGTGTGCGTCTAGGGATAGGTACACGACAAGTTCATGACATCGTGCATGATTGATTGGACGTTAGCAAGGTTTCGGCGAGCTGGATGGCAAGGCTGTTGAGACCAGAACAGAAACTCAATAAAACGAAGGATGTTTTGAACGATTTACCATGAGAATTGTTTCCGCACCCACCTTATTCCCCAGATCTTGCACGCAGTAATTATCATCTGTTCCCACATTTGAAAAAACCCCAATTGAATATATCAAAACTTTTTTTCTTTTGAAAATTTGTAAAAAGAAATTGTAAATGAATAACGACAAAGAAAAGTATTAATGTCACTTGCTGCCAAGTACAATTATTCCTTTTGTAAAACCGGATGTTTTTCGAAACTAAGTGCGTTATAACGTAATGTTTTGTAACAGGTCATTTTCACAATATATAAAACTGTATGTGAAACGTCAATTATACTCATATTAAATTTTGGATCGCAATCATTAAAATTAGAGCTTATGACGAAACGATACAGTTAATGCACATTTATGTAGTAGGTACTAATGATCTATATTAAATNTTTAAAAGGTGAATAAATATGAAAGTTGTTAATTATCTTTCAGATTATTTTTATGTAGATTGATAAATCTTAAGTTTTGTCACAAATTAAATTTCTGAACGCGACCATAATATTTGGCATTTGACAATCAACTATATGTAGTTTAGGTCTTTTATTTATCGATTGAGGCAGTACGAAGTCTGTCGGGTCAGCTAGTACTTAATAAATGTTTCAGCTAAATTCCCAAAATTCGTACCTATAATATGAACTTGAAAGGTGATACTTTCTTTCATAAGCAACATAATAATTCTTTTGTTACATGTGTTGCTGAAGGGCATTTTTTACTTCATTGGTACAGGTGTATTATGCTGTGTTGGCGTTATAGGTACATTTTTATCATCCGTGTGTGATAGAAGAAAGACATTGTTAAACAAGAACAATTCGATATTGCTCCACATTTTACCTTTCCATTTGTTGCGTAAACGACTCGGTGCGAGCAATCAACGAAAGCAGAAAGGAAACCTTTGTAAAATTATATAAATATTTTATTCGTACCATTTGCAGATACGTTATCCGTTACAGGGTATTTATACACATTTATTTTTCTTTTTCGGACAATACGGGCAGTCGTCAGTACTTATCGTTTTAATCGACGATAATAATTATTAACAATTGAAAGAAACCGGTAATTGGCTCTTTGTCTGGCTCGAACTGTTCACGTATATTGTTCGATATAAATCTATAAAATTGCAAACCAAAGGTGTATTCGTAAAGCTCAATTAAAAACAAAAAAAAAGGTATTTTGCATATCTGCAGACAGCACACTGCGATCTAATTAAATTCCTAGTCCTAGCGACACCCAAGCGTACAGATTTTAAATCTTTTAAGTTTTGTAAAGACTATGAAGTAATAAATAACATATTTCATGAAAACTCGAAGTGATTTAGAATCTGAATAAAAATAAACTGGATTTCCGGTTTCTAACCGCGTCTTCGTGATGAAATCTCCGTGAGGGTCATGAACAATTCGCCATAACTAACGTTGAAGATCTTGAATCGACAACGCGAAGTTCCTGAAGATGATCATCCCCTTGAAACCTCGGACACTTTTAACACCACCACAATCCATCATAACGATTTCACCGAGAAGACGCGATTAAAATCGAAAAAAACAGTTTTCTCGAAGTAATTTCACCATTTTAATTTTAATAGAACATTGCATAACGATAGTGGTTTAGGCGTAAACCCACTTTTCAATAAATTATAGTAATATTAATGAATGGTTATTAATTAAGTAATCTTACAATATCTAATTAATTTTCATATCATCACATACTTGATAAAAAAGGGCAAATGAACATTATATAACTATGTAAAAAAAGATATTTTCAATTAATTTATATCGATACACTTCATTGTTATCACGTGTAGAGAAATATACTTTCTAGATAAGGTGTTTCCGAAATAAGTAGCAAGCTGTGTCGGGTGTTAAGTAACTATAATAGGGAATAGCATGGTGAGTAAAACAACGTGGTTGAGAGATAAGAAAATTACTAAAAAACCAGACGAACTTGCAATCCGAAGCCGGCCCTAAGCGGCAATTGACAACGTATAGAGAAATTGTGATAACAATTACGCAACCACAGTGGAATTCGTTTATTATGACTCTACTTATATTGACCAACCACTTAATATGAAGTAATTGCAGTGTTAAGTTTGGTTTTCTTATTAAATTCTCTATAGGAAAGTTTGGATATAATGACTCCGTTTAAAATGACTGATTCTCAAGAAATCATATTCGGCTATAGTAACCCAAATGACTAATAATAACATTTTCGCTCATTTTTCTGACACTTCTTATATATATTGATAGTACAATTCATCGTTCTTTTTCTTTTTCTGTTAATAGATATCTACAATTTGTTGTTTTTCTCTCTATTAAACTAAACAAGATAGAAAGTTCTTTATTTTTTAATACTATGCTTTCTATGACGCCCGCTTAGTATGACGTGTTTGTTATTTCCCTTCGACGTCATTATAAGCGGATTCTACTGTACATCAATGAAAAATGTAGACAGTGACGGTTGCAGAGCGACTAATAAAGTAAGTAACAACAGCTTGTTACTGTACTACTACACATAATAATCTTTAGACGACCATTACCATAACAAAGAATCAAATAACTACTTTGTTCATAGCTGTATGCACTAATATATATTTAAAAGAACACAAAATACAAAGGAAATACTCGTATAACAAGAATGATACAGCTGATGGATGTAGCGTTGCAGTGTCGTATTTCCTATATGATTCTACCAGGACCGGACTGGCCCTCAACTGTAATTTCAATACGTTTTTCTCTAAAACGGTGAATTTTCAGACCACTGAACATTTACTTAATTTTCATTAATAGTGTCTTATCACCTCCTCCAAGCTTATTGCTACTTATTTCAGAAATACCCTAAACTTTTTAAACATTGACTTATCTTAATTTTTAGCAAATCAAATATATTTCTATGAAGTTGTAGCATTTTTTATAGAACCCTAAGTTTAAAACTAAAGCACTTGTAATTTTTACAATTTTAGTGTTAACTTGTCAAGTTATAACCAACTTCTGAAGAAGCTACAATGAGGCAGGGTTAAGTTATTTCAGTTTTAAAATAAACCTGAAGCAGTTTAAATTAAACTCCTTGTTTTTATAGTTACATAAACAAATTTCAAGTGTTTTGTATATTCTTTGCTAAAGAAATCCGACCTATTACCGAGACATTAATAATTTAATTACCCGAAATCGAATCTACCTATTAGACATGACCTAATCAATTTTTTATTTTCCAATATATCCTGAAGTAAAACCCAGTTGCAAAAGGACAAAAATGTATCAGAATGTTCATAAAACGTATAAGAAAAAATTCTCTCCTTGATTCTTTTCAAAATTGATTGATAGACACCACAAAAATTCAAATTCAAGGGATATATTACCGTTACAAAATTTACCATTAAATTTAATAAGATAAGTGTTCCAAAAAGCAAAGAAAATTAGGTCATTTTACTTAAAATAAGGAAGTAATGGAATACTTCCGGTAGAATCGCAAATGTCACGGTTTTGAAAATATTTATATCAAATAGACCGATTTGACTTGAATGGTAGATTATGTGAGGTCTCAAATCGACTTCATTGTACGCTTTTACTCATATAGGTACTTCTATTTACAAAAAAGGCAATAAAATAAAATTTTTTATGAATAGCAGTATATAAGTATAAGCAATATAAAATACTTAATTCGAACAATAAAAGTTATAGACGTAATGTGTTCTACATAGGTAGGCATAAGAATTATGTACCTTCTAAAACTAATCATGTAGTGTAATGTTCTTTCGTAATTAACATAATTTCAGTTAGTCGCACTCATATACTAACACATTCTATGAAATTTCTACAACCGTTTCCCAAAGTGAACGTTTGTGGTGAGATCAATATAAAAGAACTTCCGAAATACGGTACCGTTAGTCTCTCACAACCACCCGCAAAGTGAACCAAACCAAAGGAAAATGTTTTTCAAAGTGAGAAAAATTCTTTTGTTTCTTTTAGTTTTAATTCTTTGCGTGATTTAACTACCAACCTATCATTATAGAAGTGTAATCAGTGACCAATAAAACGGAAACGTTAATGCAACATGGAAAAATCGGTTTTATATAATATTTTCTGATTAATAAAAAAAAAATGAAAAATCATCATACTAATTTGAAATTTTCCACCAAAATAAAATCGTGTGTTATATCTCCTCTTTTTAAATAAATTAATATTTTTCTGTTTAATTGGACAATTAATTAAACCGACTAATCATAATATTATAGGTTGTTGCCCTAGCTTCTGTGCTCGCCGTTTGCTCAGCTTATCCTGGAATTATCTCCTTTGCCAGTGGAGGACATGGTCTGGGTGATGATTTGGGACATGGGAGTATAAGCGGGGGCACATCGTACGTTAGCGGGGGACTCGTAAGTCACGGTGCCGTAGCTGTTGGAGGAGGTCACGGTGGATATGATGGTGGTCATCATGAACATATCGTTGACTATCACGTAATAAACCTTAATTTCTTAATTTTTCGTGCCTTCGAAACATTATTTTCTCATTTAGCCGCACACACCATTATTACTTATAGTACCGCTGTTGAATCTTAGATGTCAGTCAATATTCATATATTACTTTAATTTCTTTAGGCACCAGCTCACTACTCCTTCAATTATGGAGTAGCTGACCACAAGACTGGTGATAACAAGCATCAACACGAAGAACGCGACGGAGACGTTGTCAAGGGAGAATACTCTTTGCATGAACCCGATGGTACCATCCGTACCGTCAAATATACCGCCGATAAGCACAACGGTTTCAACGCTGTTGTTATCAGACAAGGACACGCAGATTAATAACAGGTGGACCGGGGGAAATTTGGAGATAGTGACCGGGGTGTGTTTAGTTTTCAGATATAAAAACACTTTTAGATAATAATAACAGAAGAACAATTCAGACTAGCAAACAAGTAACAACTATCTATTTAAGCAATTAGTATTAGTTTTGATTCATTAGTGTGTATGTAGGATTATTAAACGTATAATACAGTACGAATATTTTTAATCTACATACACTGGTCCTTCGAGATTTATATTTTGTGAGATTAATTATTAATCTATGTGGTACAGCAGTACACCGACGAAAACAACAATTCAGACGAGATCATTTACGAGGCGTAATTAAAAGCGAATAACAAAGAAAAAGTAATCAAATGAAATCATAGAGACGGTAACACGTTTACAGCAGCGAACGATCTAAATATACATTTACACGCATGCACAACATGCATATATGCAAATACACACAAAGCTATTATATACCTCTCTGNTCTTTAAATATTTTTATCAAATACCTTCCACAAAATACAACAGGAATATTAATTATAAATCAATAAACAGTTCATAGGGTATTATTATCGTCAAACAATTAACAGCAATAAAACATACCAATATATTTTCTATTTATACGAAAGGCAAATTTACTCGTATTAATAAAATTACCATCATACAGCAGCCAATTTGTCCAATTAAATATTAACTGAAAATTTCACTTCAACTACGCGCGGCATTCATCCACCCACATGTTTTACAAGAAATTGCAGTTTCCTATCATAAGTTAAGCATAAAATGATAATTCTAGATAGAGGTGTGCTTTAGTGGTAAATAAAATTTGCATAGTGAAAGGGACCCATAGGTACCTACTAAAGATTGAAGAGGAATATAACTTCCGTTGCTATGAAAATAAGTTTACTTAGAGAGTGATAGCAGAGAAATTATTTATTGATAACTGAAAGTCAGTAAGTAATATGCAATTACATTTCGACGATTAAAACGTTTAAATATCAGATAGAAGGATACTTTCGACATCCAGGATGTTTTTGTTTAAACACAATCATTATTTAAAATCAAGAATTTTCCCGTAATAAATTTGGAAACAAACAGTTGGAAAGAAGTGGTCAGCTCTAAATGTTTCTATTCCGGTGTAGTTGGTTACATATACACATATTCTAATCTATAGAGATAATCAAATTGGGGTAGGTAGTCAATGCATTTCATGAAAAGGAAAAAACAATAAAAAAAAGGTATCTGAAGTTCTTTCTGACGTGACGTCTTATAATTCGATGGAGCCGGCTGCACGCACGAAAAAACATGACTCATGCGGCGTTACCTCGCTCTGAGGCGTTCCATTTAAGGCTTGAAGCGCAAGCGAGAGCGCGGAACGAGCGACAAAGAGGCACAATCGGCCTCCGCGTTCGGCAGCGTTCAACATCTGTCTCTCTTCTACTTGAGTGAGCGATGCGTCCGCGTGGACAGCTGCTATACAATAATACATTTCCATTTACCTCCTTCTCTATATCCATACACAATATCTATCAAACAAATAAAATTAAGGTTTTCTTTTGAAAAAATGAAACCATTCCACCAGTATTTTCTTATGACGTTGTCACGTTCAACTATCGTCAGTAAACTGACTTTACAGACAACCGATTTTTTAACAAGGACACTTCATAAACAGTTGTGTCGGTCAATCATAAGCACCATTAAATAAAGATTGATGAAGAGAGGATCGCACTGCTTTTCATCTCACGGCTTACTACAACTTGTAGGGCAACATGGAGACTCTAACTGTTTTCACCCTATGTTCCAATCTCATGTTATAACCAGTAATTGCGACTGTGTAGTTGATTGTATGTTAATTATTAAATTGTAACTACTATAAACCACCGGCGACAAGTATTCCCATTGATTTGGACTGGTTCAAGGTGACTGGAAATTTTCATATTCATCTCGAGATTAGAAACTATGACTAATTTGAAATAATTTAACCTTAATCACTTGGGGATCGGAAATTCGCCATTTTCTAGAAAATCTACTTCGTTTTTCTTTTTAAAACAATCCGAAGTATGGGTTAAAAACTTAAAAAAAAATATTCTTTTTGACCTTAATTTTTCCATGATTTCATAACTTATTGCTTCCTAAAGCAACGAAATTTTCTGTTATGGATTAAAATAATAACAAAAAAAAATAAACTAAAACTTCTGAGCAGATTTCCTCGAAAATAATACTTTTCCGACCCCTATACAGTAGAAGTTAAATCATTCCAAATTAGTGATAGTTTCTTCTTCCGAGAGGAATATGATAATTTCCTGTCATTCTATAAGTGTTGTTTGTCCTTACGTTCTGCTAAAGCTCGACAACCGATTTCAGCAACCCCTTGAGGGTTATATAGTATAATAGCTTTTAATCCCCCGCTCATGACGAAGATTTAGGTTTTCAGCTACAGGGGTTGGTTTGAACGTTTGGGTGTTTAAAGAAAAATTGAAATCCGACGTCTAGTCCCAAGGTTACAGAATGTCACAAAATATTTCCTGAATGCCCTGCATCTATAAGGTTCGAGAACGTTTTAAAATTTTTTAGAATATTCGAGAACGTTCTCGAATGACAACTATTTTTTCCTGAGCGAAGCCGGGGTAGTCGGGCTTGTTTTTAAATAAAAGCCTAAAATCACTTGCAATAACAAATATATAAACAATTTTATATTTATATTGAAGGATGTCGAAAATTGAAGGAAATCATAAATTTGAGTAATATGAGAAAATCTTTTTACTTACATAAGACAAAAAATATTCAATTTCAGACGAGATCATTTACGAGGCGTAATTAAAAGCGAATAACAAAGAAAAAGTAATCAAATGAAATCATAGAGACGGTAACACGTTTACAGCAGCGAACGATCTAAATATACATTTACACGCATGCACAACATGCATATATGCAAATACACACAAAGCTATTATATACCTCTCTGCATAAAAAAAAAATAATCATGTAATGTTCTTTCGTAATTGGTTACAATAATTTCGGTCACACTTATAACCCAACACATTCTTCTGAAATTTCTACAACCGTAAGCTAAAGTGAACGTTTAAGTGACTGATCAATATAAAAGAACTTCCGAAATCGTTCATTGTCAGTATTACACCCACTTGCTACAGAGTGAACTTCATCGGAACATACCAACACCAACTCAAGATGTACGCCAAAGTAAGAAAATTCAGACTTCTCTTTTTTAAAATTTATTTGCGCATATACGAGGATAGATTGAAAACTAATACACCATGCTTGTAGAAAGCTAACGAAAAACAAGTACGAAGATCGAGAGGCAAATTATAGTAAAGTATAATACTGAAGCCTAACAAACATATGTTTATTTTTATATATAGACACCATTAAGAGTAACATATTTCTGCCAACGTGTAAGAAAGTTTTTCATTCCGTCAGTGATATATTTCTTTCCGAATCCGGGACTTAATAGCCTCCTTTACCTCGTCGCCCGAAGCCTCTCTTCAACAGAGGAAATAAATAATATCACAGGGCGCAAAATCAGGGGGAATAAGGAGGAACGTGCTTTGTCACTAAAATACCAACGTCGAGTTTAATTATGTTATTAGAAGCACCCTAACGCCAACAATTTTACAACATGAAATGTATTATTCTTAACGGTGATTATGTGGAAAAATAAATGTATGATTTTGAAGCTTAAGAATTGTACTGTAATCTAGTTTTTGCCAAATGTTTCTATTTGGTTTTTACTACCCTATCCCCGCACGAACTTCTCATTTTAGTACCTAATTCTAAAAAGATATTATCTTTTAGAAATGTATTCAAAACAATAATAATAAAAGGTTATGTTCCCGAATCGTTACCAATTATCAACTTTTTTCAGATCGCAACTCTTGCTCTTGTTTTCACTGTGTGTTCAGCCTACCCTGGCATTATATCATATGGTGAAGATCACGGTGCAGGGGGTGACTTGGGACACCATGGTACTTCTTACGTAAGCGGTGGACTCATCAGTCACGGTAGTGTTCCTGTTAGTGCAGGTCATGGAGGTCACGGAGGTCACGGAGGACATGGTCACGAAGAACACATCGTTGACTATTTCGTACGTAAAATACATATAGATTAATAGGCAAAAATGCAATCGACTTTCAACTCTGAAAGTTTTATCTTCTTCGGTCGTCCTGTTTTATCTATTTCGTCTATTCTTTAATTAAATGTCTAAATCTTAACGTACTAACGTAGATTTCTACAAATATTTCGTCTTACGAACTATGGTATATTAACTCTGATTACGTAACATTTTGCTAGCCAGCTATTTATCTATTATGCACTGATAAATCGCACTTTCTTTAAGAAGCACACCTACACCTTGCAGTTAAAGTAACTAGTCAAGCACGCTGTTATATTTAACAGTAGCTTTTAAATTGATATTTTAAATTGCATTTGAGCGGTTCAAGATTCAAGTCACTGTCTTTAAATTTTTAAAAGGGTCGTTTATGTTTTAGTAATGTAGATATACGAATATTACAAAGTTAACCTAGACTTTGAAGGATTATTTCTTCATTTAGCCAAAAACCATTTCGGAAACGTTATTTGCTCTTGTAATAATAATATTTCAGGCACCAGCCCACTATTCCTTCAACTATGGAGTAGCTGACCACAAGACAGGCGATAACAAACAACAACACGAAGAACGCGATGGAGATGTTGTTAAAGGAGAATACTCTCTGCATGAACCCGATGGTACCATCCGTACCGTCAAATACACCGCAGACAAACACAACGGTTTCAACGCCGTAGTTCTCAGACAAGGACACGCAAGTCATCCACAAATCATCGCCCATCATGGACACCATGATTACTAGTCATGGATTCTCACTAATAGGATCTCTTTTTGTTTGATATTTGATGCTGTGTTATAGGCTCTAATGTAACAAATTTGTTAAATTATTTTATACATAAATAAATAAACTTTTATACTGACTCGTTCTGTTTAAAATGAATAGAAAAAGCGATATGGTTAATATGAATACCTACATAAAATACATCGAAAAATTAAAAAGGCTTTTTAAATAAAAATAAACAGATAATATTTATAAAACAAAAATAAACTTTTAATATAATTACTAAAAACCTGGCATTTCTAAAAGGCCTATTTAGATATAAAAAAATAGTAAAATAATAAAAACGTTTGTTAAGACTTTAGTGTTCATACCTGCGGTGCTAACCCCTTAGTACCAAGAAGAGTACCATCGTAAATACCTTCATAGTGAGACAGACATATAATAATGGCATCAAACTATTAGGTTTTTCCCTAAATTATCGATAGTGCCGGTGATGCCGAATTCCCCCCCACAGATAGTTTTGGTTAAAATATAGATAGTCGAATTCCCTACTAGCCGAGTTCCCTCCCGTTCATGTCAACTCCGATAATTAAGTTAACGACTAATTACCGATTTTATTTATCGAAAATAAATATATATTTATAGTGCACTTCAGTACTTCAGTAAATTAAAGATAAAATAATTTCAGAAAGAAAACACATATCAGTTATGAAATGTTTATTTATTTAATTTTAAAATGGTTTCCCACTACCTTAACAAATTCAATGTTTGGAAATTCGTGTGCGTCTAGCTTTTTGATGTAATCATCTAGAAACACTTTATTAGTTTTAGCCGTTGGGAGGCAATTGATGTATAATTAGGAGAGAATTCGACATACCGAAAATTTTAACCCTAATTAATAACAGGTGGACCGGGGGAAATTTGGAGATAGTGACCGGGGTGTGTTTAGTTTTCAGATATAAAAACACTTTTAGATAATAATAACAGAAGAACAATTCAGACTAGCAAACAAGTAACAACTATCTATTTAAGCAATTAGTATTAGTTTTGATTCATTAGTGTGTATGTAGGATTATTAAACGTATAATACAGTACGAATATTTTTAATCTACATACACTGGTCCTTCGAGATTTATATTTTGTGAGATTAATTATTAATCTATGTGGTACAGCAGTACACCGACGAAAACAACAAAACATTTTTCGCCAAGCGAGCCAAGCGAGCCAACGATGTTTATTTTCCCGTTTCGTATCAACCAAACAACTGTCAGTTTTGAAATTGTTTCCCGTCAGTACTTCAGTCAGTTATATACCTATACCTATGTTCTACTTATTATTTTGTATTCCATTCGTTGCCCGGTAGAATCTTCCAATTGTATTTGTTGACAATTGGAGGTATACAAGCACAAGCAACTAAAATTGACTGCGGCTAGGTTTCATGGACAGATACCCATTCTAAATCCAAAATTCAAAAGCCCATTTTTGTCGAAAAGTGGGCCAATAGAATATAAAGCAATGCGATTCGGGGTTGAAATTTCAAAGGTCACCATTCCAGCATTCATGTTAAACAGTATACGCCGTAGTGACAATCAAATTCTTTTTTAGGAAATCAGCGTCATTAGGCGCGACACATCGACATCATTCAATCATAAGATATTTATCCTTTATGTGTTTATTTATATTTCGATTGCCACATCTATCGCTCGACGATCTTAGACATTTTTCATGAGATAGGTCCCCATATTAACGACAGTGGTATTCTTAGTAAGTATTGAAAGTTTTGAGATATATTTTCCGGTTAAAATTTTACCTATAGATTATTACACGTTATCAGATCCAAATTAGACGAAACGCTACAACTATTTTGGCTTTACTATGGGATATTCGTACTAAAATATGCATATTAATTAGTTAGAATTAAACTATAAAAAATATAGATAATAAAGCTGGTACTACGTCTTCCTTTGTAAACAAAGGTGTAGTCGCTTCAGTTTAATTTTGATTATAAAGTCCAAATTGTAAATCTTTTATTTATTATTTATTACTAAAACAATAAATCTACTGAACCGTATACCTACCACAAGAAAGAAAAAGATACTGTTATCTTTCTCGGCTAGTCGCAGGTAACAAACAGTACTGCTGGTACTTTATAAAATTTGTGCATCTTCCTCTCTATTTAAACAACTTTTAGAGTTTGTACCTCTTGTTTTATAATACTACCGATTGCTTCATGAATGTTAAATAAATTATAATGGCGTAGGTAAGTAATAAAATACAAACAAACTCTAGAAATTGTTTAAATAAAGAGAAAGATGCATTAATTTTATAAAGTACCAGCAGTGTTCGTTACCTGCTGCTAGCCGAGAAAGATAGGGGTATCTTTTCCTTCCTTGTAATATTTTTTAAGAATAAATAATAAAAGAAAAGGTTTACAATTTTGACTTTATAAACCAAAACCGGGAAAAAAATAAACTGAAGCAACTATAACTGTGTCCCTTATGACAAAATTATTTGTTTAGGGGATGTTTGATTTTTAACTAGGTGTCAAGCATAAGCCACCTAACTCACCTCATTGTACGCAACTAGTAAATTATTATGAACTTTTATTAGATTTAACTGTTATAATCTATAAGTAATAAAAATCATTTTGGTTTTAACTTCGGTGGCTACTATGACTAATTGCTTCCCACAGCATGGGTCGCACATATCAATTGATCAGCCTTAGCACACGTACGCACACATAACAAGGAACCTTTCGCTCAACCATGGGAACGATTATCTTAAAAATGACATGAAATATTAGCGGAATTAAACAACTTCCTAATCGATATTATGTTAGGATTATGAGTGCAGATACATATAACTATACGTAAATACCTATGTATAAATTATTTAATATCGAACGAGATTTTTTGTTTTCAAAGGCCTCTCTTTCACTTAATCGTAAATCGTAGGTACCTATGGAATGTATGTTTATATGTAAACAAAGGACGGCGGGCGTATGGTACCTACATATTATATTACATGCTCTAAATATTTTTCAAAGCTCTCAAACACAATCACGTAATGCTATCTATCGTGCTTTCGTAATTAAGAATATTTCGGACACGCCATTATCCACATATACACTGTAGAATTTTTGACCATGGTATCGGTATGAATTCTAAAAGTGAACGTTTATTAGTCGAATATAAAAGAGTATCCAATTTTGGCAATCGCTAGTCTTGAACCGCACTTCTACGACAATACCCAGAGTCATGCTTACCAAAGTAAGCAAACAGAAAATTTTTACTATCATGTGTCGTTGTAGTGTACTTTTTGTTTTGTGATCATTGGAAATAATTCCATTAAATTCATATGTTTAATGGACCATTCAATTGTTTAGTGTGAAATTATATCTAAATCTTTTTTAAACTAATTTCAATTTACAGTGCTTTTACTTTAACAAACAATATATTGTTTATTATACGTTTAAATTATAAAATTTCATTATTTTATTAAAGGCCCTTTGCGTTGTTCTTCTTTTCGCCGTCTGCTCCGCATTTCCGGGTGGAGTTTCGTACGTGAGCGGTGGATTAGGCCATGGAATAGGACTAGGATTAGGGGGCGGTTATGGACACGGCTTAGGCCTAGGGGGTGGCTCAGGACATGGTGGAATAAGCGGAGGTACTTCCTATGTTGGTGGAGGACTTATAAGCCATGGAGGAGTTGCTGTAAGTGGTGGTCACGGAGGATATGGTGGATACGGTGACCATGGAGGACATGATCATCACGTTGACTACTTTGTAAGTTGTTTTTACGAATAAGTTCTTCTGGCATTGTACCCTTATTAATTTTCGCTTTGTTTTTCAACTTTTAACTAATTCTTTAATATTTTTACATGATTTCACACTTTAGGGTTATTATTTCTTTATTTCTCCGTCGTTTTCTTTCTTTTGTCAATGCATATTAATCGATCATCGATACTGCTCCATCGACGGAAAGAACTCCTCCATTACTCATGGAAAATAGTGCGAGGGCGCGTCGTTTTTTTTTAAAGTAGATTAGATACCAAACTCCTTTTGAAATCTATGCATCTATTTATCCAAAAACAACTTTCTTAGATATATGAAATCCTATGACATTGTTAGTTACTTAATAGTGGATTAATATTAATTTGACATCATTTTTTCGATTTTTATTTATCCACTACAAACTACCTCACATATTAATGAGGGAAAAATTGTTGCTGTTGTCACATCCCCGCCGGGAATCGAACCCGGGACCTATGGCTTTGCGCACCAATGTCCTGACCACTAAACTACGAGAGGTGACAACAGCAACCACGACCATTTCCCTCATTAATTTGTGAGGTAGTTTGTAATGGGTAAATAAAAAATCGAAAAAATGATGTCAAATTAACAACTTTCTTGTAGGCCCCAGCCCACTACGCTTTTGACTACGGAGTATCTGATCACAAAACTGGTGACAACAAACAACAACATGAAGTCCGAGATGGAGACGTTGTCAAAGGAGAATACTCTTTGCACGAACCCGACGGTACCATCCGTACCGTCAAATACACCGCTGATAAACACAACGGTTTCAACGCTGTAGTACTTAGACAAGGTCATGCAGTTCATCCACAGGTCATAGCCCATCATGGACATCACGGTTACTAAGCTAATGGACAGTTCGCCTATTTCTCTATCGCCATAATTCGCTATGTCATGCATGATTATACTCGCCATTCGTTCATTGTATATTTATTTATTTTTGTTTTTTATAGAAATAAAGTATTGAATTGAATTTAGCATTTTTCTTCTTGTGTAGTTCGGCATACGTAAATAAATTGTAACAAAACTAAACAACAATAACAGGAAATATGTTTTCAAATTGGTTTACAAAATGTATTACATGGCTGAAAATGAAACATTAACTTCAATTGTAGGCATGAATTTCTCGTACCAATTCCGATTAATTTTACATTAGATGGACAAAATAAGACCTAAAAGTGAAAAGGGAGGATGTTGGTAATTAAATTTATAATCATAGAAAAAAAACTACCCAAGGGCAAAACCTGTTTCTTCCCCAAAATAATTGTATAGCTATTTTGGGGAAGACATGAGAACCAAAGGTTAAATTTATTATATTCAAATTAAAGATGGATTTTTGTTTGTTTTGCAATCCGAAATAATATTTATATTTTCAATGTTATCTTTTCGTTAGAAGTAATACCTTATGGTCTACGCTTAAATTAGAAAATTATTAGAGGAATGATAAAAATAGTAAAAAAATCAAAAATTTAGATAAAAATGAAAATTTTTCTGAAACACTTTATGATGTGTGCTTTTTCTTACTTTGTTAAAAAAATACGTGTTCTAAATAGAAGTGATTTTACTGATCAAC